GACACTGTCCTTCCCCTGTGCTGAGGGCCGGGCCTCCTCAGTCACCACCCTGACCCCTGCCTGAGTCTGGCCTGCCTGGGTGAACTGGGCCCAAGCCTCCCTGCCTCACCCCTGCCTTACCCTTGCAGGAGTCTCTCTTCCCAGCCCGTGTGGTTTACGACCTCCTGTTCTTCTTCATTGTCATCATCATCGTGCTGAACCTCATCTTTGGGGTGATCATCGACACCTTTGCCGACCTGCGCAGCGAGAAGCAGAAGAAGGAAGAGATTCTCAAGACCACGTGCTTCATCTGCGGTGAGGCCCTCGTTCCTGCCCCTCAGGGGCCGAGGCGGGGCTGGGGCAGCCGCCCTTTGGCCCTTCCCCGGTCCCCGTGGCCCCTGGGGCTGACGGCTCCATGGCTGTTTGCTCATCCTACACTTGGGGAGAACAGGACCCTGTCTGAGCTTGGGGTAATAGAAGGGAGTGGGGAAGAGCCTCAGAAACCATTCCTCCAAACCCTCTCGGTTTACAGGGGAGTCCAAACTCTCGGGTCTCCGTTCAGAGCTCTCCCCACTCCCGGTATGAGGTGCTAGTCCCCTCGCCACAGGCTAAGCAGCAGGCAGCACCTGCAGGACAAAACCCTTCTCAGCGATTCCTGCTTCCCCCCGGGCTCGGAAGGCCGGCCGCGGTCCCCGGCCGCCGGTCCCCAGCCGCCATGGTGGAGGGCTGCAGCTCTGGCAGCCGGGGGCTCCACGGCCAAGGGGTGGGCGCCTTAAATAGAACTGACCTAAATGGGCCAGGGTGGGCTGTCACACGTGCTCACCAGGCCCGTCAGCCTGAGACCAGAGGCCCCCACTGCACTGAGAGGCCGTGTCTGCTCAGCCAGGTGGCCCCACGGTGGCTCTGGGAGGCTGACGGTCTCGTCCTCACCCCCCACACCCTCAGGTCTGGAGAGAGACAAGTTTGATAACAAGACAGTGTCCTTTGAGGAGCACATCAAGTTCGAACACAACATGTGGAACTACCTGTACTTCATTGTGCTGGTCCGTGTGAAAAACAAGACGGACTACACGGGGCCGGAGAGCTACGTGGCCCAGATGATCAAGGTGTGGCCCCGGGGAGGAGCGGCCGCGGCCGCCGGGGAGGGACAGCTGGGGACACCTGTGGACACCCGTGGAAAGGCCGGCCTCACTGGAGCCCCGCCAGCTGCCTGAGCTGCGGAGGGACCTCTGAGCTCTTCTGCGCGGGCTCTGTTGTCAGGAAAAGCCAAGGACGTGCGTGGTGTCCCCGGGGCCTGTGGGCGCCCGACACTGAGTAATTGGGAGAGCAGGGCAGACGCTGCCCCTGGTGGCTGCTCAGTGGACCATTCGGAGGGAGCCTTGTCCAGCTCGGCAAGAGGAAGGGCAGCTTCCCAAAGCTTTGGATGGTCTAGGCTGAGAGGGGGCCTGGAAAAGCTTGCAACTATCAGACTTAGGAGGAATCAGAGTTAATCTGTCCAATTTCTGTTGTGTGAAGGGAGTGAAAGCAGTGAATAGTAATAAAAAAAAAAGGTCTTGTAGTGTTTCGGGAAAAGGAAGCCCATCCGTTCCATCAAATGTAGTGCATCTTCAAATTACTGCATAACGGATAAATTGCAGGCTAAAAGGAAAGAGCTATTTAGTGGGGGAGGGGGAAGGGGGAGTTCTATTGGTTTCTTAAGTCTATAATTTGAACTGATCTTTGAGTACATGTTTATCTGTTGGTCTGAGAACTCACAGCTTGACAAGGAGCTAGAAACCTGGTGGCCCCCTCCCGCCACCCCCCCCCCCGTCCCAGGGAACGTGGCCGTGCCTCTCAGACACACGTCAGCTGCCAGCCGCCCTCAGCAGAGCCTCCCCTCCCTCAATGCGCCGTGTGTCTGACTCGCATCTTCCTGGGGTGCAGGGCGTGTGGGGCGGAGCAGAAGGAAGGAAGGAAGGAAGGAAGGAAGGAGCTCCAGGGTCTGGTGCAGAGGCCCTCCTCCACCTCTTGCAGGGTGTCAGGACAGTAAACAGATGGTGCTGATACCAGTGAGACTTGAGGCCGTCTAACGGAAGTTAGCCTGTCCCAGTGCACGGGCCTCTCGACGCCCCGCCGAGGGTTCACCGCCCGCCCTCTGGCTCCGGGGAGGACCCCAGTCGGTTCAGATTTTCCCTGACACATCCCTGGGGAGTAATCTGTCCAGGCTGTGACAGCAGGCTCCCCATCCTTTACTGCTTTTCTAAATGAGGCCTTCCTAGGCTGGGCCCCAGCTTGCTCATCCCGCCGGGGATCTTTTTCAGAACAAGAACCTGGACTGGTTCCCCCGGATGAGGGCCATGTCCCTAGTGAGCAATGAGGGGGAAGGGGAGCAGAATGAGATCCGGATTCTTCAAGACAAGCTCAACTCCACCATGAAGCTGGTGTCCCACCTCACTGCCCAGCTCAACGAGCTCAAGGAGCAGGTGTGTACCCAGGCCTATACTGGCCCCACCCTTGGGGTCCTGTGCTGGGCAGCTTCGGACCGTCACTGGGAGGTCACAGCCCAGCCTGCCACAAGGGAGAGGGGGAGGGTACTGGGGCCTTCACACTCCTTCCTTTCCTTCATGGGTCTGGGGTGGAAGACAGGTTCTGGAGACACTCTCTCCCCCCATGGAAAGCTAGACTGAGGTTGGCAGCCCCTGTCTGTGAGCCCCCTGAAAGACAGGGCCAAGTGGACTCTTGGTAGAGGTGTGAGGGGTCCTCCCCCTTGCTCACCCCCTCCCCCCTAGCAGCTGCTAGGGAGGCTACTGAGGGGTTCACTGGTGATAGGGGAGATCAAGGCATCCTTCCACTTCTCAAGTCCCCCTCTTGCCCAGAGCATCCTCCTCTTCCATCTCTCAGTGGCTAAATGAGGTTAGGCAGCCCCTCTTTTAGGTGGGGTGGTTCCCAGCTGCACCACATCAGGGGTTTGTGACACACTAATCGAGGACAAGGGTTTGGGGCGGACATCTTCAATGCATCCTGGGGTGGGCCTTGGCCTGCTGCCAGTGCTAAACAGTAGCTGGGCCCATGGGGCAGGGGGCCGGGGGCAGGCACCAGCCCCTCCCCAGTGCCCATGGAGGGAGGGTCCCAGGCGGCCCGACCGGACGTGTCTGCCCCCATTTAATCCTAGATGACAGAGCAGCGGAAACGCAGGCAACGCCTGGGCTTTGTGGATGTCCAGAACTGCATGAGCCGCTGAGGAGAGCCACTGGAGGCCCTGACAGGGGACGGTCATCACAGACAGCTGTGACTGGAAGGCTGCCCCTTCCCGTGGGTCAGGTGGCCCAGCCAGCTCGCCAGCCTCTCTAGGCCAGGGGCCCACCCGGCCTCCAGCCCCCACTCTGCCGGACACCCCCGAGCCATCCCAGGCTCTGGCCAGCATGGTGTGGGAAGCCACGGAGCTGACAGTCCTGCCTAGAGCCATTATCGAGACTTGGCAAGTCACTGGGACTCAGCTTACCTTAATGCCTTAGAGGAAGAAACGTCATCTTGGAGGACGGTCGCTTTGTCCCTTAAAGCAGTAACTGACATTCCTCTGTGTTCCTCCCTGCGGGTCATTAGGAGTGGGGTCGCCCTCTATTCTAAGCACTACAATTTGGCCTCCGCCCGCGCCTGGGGAAGGTGCAGTAACACTGTTGTTACTAGTGATTTTAGTGTTGTTATTTAACTTATTCAAGGGTGCCGTGCCCAGCCCTGGCCATGGCTGCACGGCCCCCCCCGCCGCCGGGCCTCGAATCTGCTGTGGACAGCATGGAGACCTCATTGTCCAGGCCATCCCTCTGGCTCGGCCCCAGGGAGACTGTGACCCGAGGACGAAGAGCCTTGCTCCTGGGACCTGCCCCTTCCTAGCAGGCCTGCTGACAACAGTCGCTGGCCCAGATGACAGGGCCTGGGTGTGTTCGAGTGGCTGGTTTTTGACTGCTTGTTTTATCTCTTGGTGTAACATTTTACAAATCCTTTGGCCTGAGAACTAATATGTTAATTGCCTTAAATAAATTAATAGAACTCTAGTCTGTGAGAAAGGGATGCTGTTTCCTATTCTCCCCAGGGGCTGTGGGGGTTCCTGTGGGACACGGGCAGGGGACAGAATTCAAGCCCTTGCCCACCAGCCCGGCCTCGCCTCGGGCTCTTGGTAGATGGCCGAGTGCATCCTATCTCACAGCGATGCCTGGACAGAAGTGGTTTGTGTTTTCTTGTATGTATTTCAGCACATACTGAGGGGTCCAGGTACAGATGAGGTGAAGAGCTCACGTTCGCTTCTTCCCCACGAGGGGCGCCATCAGCCCCTGCCCTACCTACCCCTTCTCTCGGCTCTGTGCCTGACAGAAGAAAGCTCAAGTGGGGAACATGAACATTTACGAAAGAGCTAAGGTTCCAGGGAATAATAAGGTGACCCCGTGTGTGGCCCTGGCCAGGGGGCTTTTGTCCTGTGACCTCCCACACAATCTGCGCAGAGTGCTGAAGCCGACCACAACCCGAGGCCCCGCCTGGCCAAGGCCCGTCCGTAGCTCTACTCTGGCCCTTAAGCCAATCTGGAACACTGGTTTTCTGCAAGGTCAGGGGCAGAGGACCGGGCTCCGTCCTTCTGAGTTAGTGGGAATGAGGGCCAAGCAGTCTCTTCTCATCTCTCCGCCACACCACCTCCTGCTGCTTTCTGTTTGCAACAGGATGCCTTCTTCAATATTTACCGCTATTTTTGGCTCTCCCCCAGGAGCTCCTACAACAAAAGGGAGCCTGAGAATCTTGCCAGGAGCCAGCCAGACCCCCACTGGCAGGTGGGGCCCCTGTGGCTGTGCAGGAAGCACCTTGCCCAGAGGCCCCGTCACCTTCCCTTCCCAGGCCCAGACGGAGACCTGCATTTCCTCTCCTCTGGAGACTTCCCCACCCTGACCGGTGGGCGGGGTGGACGCTCGATCGCACCCTTTCTCAGGCAGAAGCTTCCTTTAGAGCAGCAAGGGCTTCCTTTTTGTGAAGGCTGGAGGAGATTCCCAAACCGTGAGGATGGGGAAATCAGGGCAGTTTTATTTATGATGGCAACGTGCAAGACTCCACTCTTAGGTGCGCGGGCGAGATAAGGACCGAGCCCAGGCCTTCTGCTTCTCCTCGGGATTCCTGGGTGCAAACTTCTCCTGCAGCTTCTTCCACATGCCTTTATTCATTTCCTTAAACTCTTCCAAGGTGTCTGCGAGAGGGGAGGACAATAAATAAACAAACTGAAGTCGGCAATTTGACTATGTAAATTGGCCCCACAGGCTTTTGCCATCCGAGCACCCCTTGACTTTTACACAGTGTGGGCCTGAGAGAGGGAAGCGTGGCCCCAACTTCTGATAAGCAAATCAGATGCGCTTGCAGAAAAACAACTGCTTGCGTGGAGGGAGCACCTGTGCCGCAGGCCGCAGGCCCCACGCTCAGCTCAGCACCCTGTGCCTTACAGCGGTGGGACCTGGGATCCCTACCGATCTCCTCACTGGGAAACAAATGATTTAACCCTTTAGCCTCAGGTGCCTCATCTGTAAGGTGGAGATCAAAACGCCTGCCTCCAAAGTTGTGGACTAAAGGAAATAATAGAAGAATCTGCTTGGCACCCGGCCGGCACTCAGGAAAAGCCATCTTCATAGCTATGAAGGCTGCAGGGAGCCGGCTGGTGAGAGCCAGCGGGGCCCCTGTTTAAGAACACACGCGCACACACACACATGCACACGCACACACACACACACACACTCACACCACACAGAAACCAAACCCAGCTTTCTCAGTCTGGGCACTATTGACATTTTGGGCCAGATAATCCTGGTTGTGAGGATGTTTAGCAGCAACTTGGCTTCTACCCACTAGATGTCAGTAGCAGCCCCCCTACCCGGCTCCTAGCTGTGACATCTAAACATGTCTCCAGACGTTGTCACAGGGCAATGTGGCACTCCCCCCCACTGCCCCCGCCCCCGCATGGAAAACCACCGGTCTAAAGGCTCTCCAGGGCTAGAGTTCTATGTTGCCTAATTTTATCTGTATTTTAAATTTAGATTTTCACATAGTATTGTTTAAATTTCATACCCTAGATTTTCCTTGGTTAACAAAACTTCTAGAGAAAAAGAAGAGCTTTTCTGAACAAAAAGGCAACTTCCATTTATTATCAGTGGGCTCTTGACTAAATGAGGACACACACTCTACTTCAGCCATGAGCCCAACATCCCACCCTGAAACCTCTCCAGAAGTCTAGGTTTTCTTGTGGGCACAAAGTGGGATGCTGAGGGGTCCCCGTCCACTTGCAAACCACGAGGCCTCTTTCGGAGGAGTCTCCCATGACCGCAAGCCCAGGGGAACACACTTGGGCCCCAGACCTTGGCCACATGTCAGACCCACCAGGCCCTCAAACACTGTAAGGTGTGTATTCTTGCCTTGTCAGAAGGAACAGTCAGTGAGCTTGGCCACATAGTCGCAACAAAAATACGAGGCTTGAAAACAAATTATCAGCAAATTTCCCAGAGCTGAACTCCCGGCCAGAACAAGCTACAGCCACAGGCCAGTTGTGGGGAGGGTTCCAACTCCCCGTGCTTTGCTGCAGTCTGTCACACAACCCCCCCGCCCGCCCGCAAATCGCAGAGGTGTCCAGGGGCTAACGAAGAGGGTGGAGGCTGGGCCTCTGGAACGTATTTCCATTCTGATTTCAAGTTCAAACTTTGTTCAAACCCTGTGGGGCCCTCAGAGTGACACGGTGCATCAATGCTGGTAACTGCATGGGCCTAGGGACAGGGGAATACATTTATGTACATGTTTTTAAAAACTGTTGATAAAGTAATTCTGCCTGGCCAAAATATTGTTACCCCAGTTTTCCAGAGTACTATAACAAAAATAGGTTCAGAGTTGACATACAATAGCAGGTGACACCACCAGGTTTTAATCTGTTCAGAACGTAAGAATTCTCTGGAAGGCCAAATCTCCAAAACTTAGTTGCTGAAAGGCTGCCAGAGGGATAGGAAAGAGAAATTTCTAGAGTACCAGAAGGCGAATGTTCAGGGCCATGCCCTTGCAGAAAAGGTTAGCCTATTTTTGTATACGGTATCCTTGGCAATAAAAATAGTAATTTTCCAGAACTTGCCTACTTCAACCCAGGCTCCCCTTGCCAGTACCCCCAACTCCCCCTTTGATGGCAATGGAGATGGGGAAGTAAGGAGGGGACGGCTGGGCAGAGTATTTCCTTTCCTGTTAATTGAGGTCCATCAACAACTCCCAAACGTACCTAAGTTAAACCCATATCTAACCCACAAACCACGTCCCCTGGGTCAGATAACTCTTTGATGGGTATCCCCATACAAGTTTACTGAATGGCTTTTTGTTTTAATTAAAACCCTCATTGTTTATAAAGCCTCCTTAGGACCATAAAAATAAAATTATTTTCCTTCCATCCTGATTTCAACTACTTCCATTTGGCAAATATGTATTCCCCTGTTCCCTGCTGCCCTGAATTTAAAAGCTCTAAAGATGGATTTTCTTTTTTAAAATAATGCCTTTGACCTTCTCCATATTCTATGGCCAAAAAGCATGAGCCCCGAAGCTTCAGAATTTCCTTTGGGCTCTTCCACAAGGCTTTCCATTAAGCAGAGCGGTGTTACTAAACAATTCCCCTTGTCTGCTCGAACTCAAAGAATCATTTGCAAACTGACCGGAAAGGGCAGCTGGACTGTCAATACCTGTGGACAGGATCAGCTTGTATTCTTCCACGGACAGGCCACTGAAGCTCGTGTCTCTGGGGCGAGGGTACTGGTCACATGGGGCAGAGAGGACAGAGAGGATGGGGAGAGATTAGTTCTGCAGCATAACATCAGAGACCTGATGATCCTGGAGAAGCCTTGCTCTCCCCGCACAGTTCACCAGCGAGGGGGGCTAGAAGAGCAGCGCCACCTAGAGGCCAAAGACTTGGCCTCGCTTGAAGGGACCCAAGAATCCTCCCAAAAAGTAGGCTGTGTGATTCAGGAGGTCTAGGTGTGCCCCCTCTCCCCCATTCTGCATTTCTAACCAGCTCCCAGGGGGATGCCTGCTCAGCTGCTCAGGGACCCTACTTTGAGTTGCAAGGATTTAGAAGAAATCCCTTTTCCCTGTAGGCTAGGCATTTGGCTGTGTATATCTCCGGAGTTACTGAACACATTGTTCAAGCTTGGGGAGAACCACACTAAACGGAATTTGACAGTAATCACGTCAGGGCTGAGGAAAAGCCCAGCTTTGTCTGACAGGACTTTCCCGAAGCACCTATCTTTATCACCAGAGTGTGAGGAAATGCCAGCTCCATCAGAGTAGATGGGAAAATACGTGTAAGGCCCAAGAGTTGTTAGATACACCCCGAGCACACCCTGGTCTATAAAACACATGGCTTTTATTCAAAATTATAAATAGCTTTTATTTAGGTGACCTAAAAGCCTCTACCAGGCGCCTTTGTTGGCTTGGTTGAAATTACTGGTTACATTTGAAAGTAGCAAAACCACAATTCTTTACAAAGCACTGTATAATCAGATTTTCACTCACTCTCATTGGTCATTTCCAGTCCAAGCGCTGGGGATGTAAAAAAGACTGGCCCACTCACCTTGTGTTTGTAATAGTTTGAATGGAGTCGTGCTAGGCTCTCATACATCTGATCACAGGCCTCAGGCTCTGCAATCTGAAAAACAAAGAACCCCCCAAGGAAGTAAGCAAACAAGCCCTGTCTCCCACGCCTGTTTGTACCCAGGAAGGACCCCACTTACACAAGGCATTCAAATGAAGCAGCCTGCAGCTTAGCACTAGCCTCTCCACTCCGTGGGAAGCAAACTTGGCCTACAGCTCCAGTTACTAGAAAGCTACTAGAAATCACCTTTCTGTAATGGTTCCACCTCAGCAACTCCCCAAACTGCAGAAAAACTCCATCAATCAACTGGCAAACAAACATTTGCTGAGCATCTGTGACTTGTGGACTACCACACCAGCTGCAGTGGAAGCCACCACAATGAAACTATAGTATCAGAAGGGTGAACCTCATGGCGGTGTGGGCTGCAAGAAACCGGGGCCGGGGGGGATTCCTGTGCTCAGCATACAGCACAAGTGAGCCTAAGCTGGGTGCTGAAGGATGCGCAGGAGTTGGGGAGCAGAAAGGAGAGTGGAGAGGCCTTCCTGGTGGGGACGGTGCGAGCAGGAGGAGGCATGGACGCTGTCTATGTTTCAGACCAGACCAGTCTGGCCGAGAGCCTAAATATGCAGGGAAGAGCCTGGGTGGGAGAAAGAACAAGAACTTTTTTAGTTAAACCTTCAATATGAAATGTATTAAATACTCTTTTATGAAAAGCAAAAAATAAATTGGCTGAGCTTTCATCTGTGGTGAGCCGTTACAATTTCACAAGGAAAGAAACATGAAGAAGATAGTAGTTTAAGATGAGATGGTTGACTTGGGGAGAATCCAGAGGGAGAGTCCAGTTAGGTCCTGCTAGAAAGGACAGGGCCTGAACACTGAGGTCTTGCGAATAGAGGGTGGAAATCAAGACATACCCTGGTGTCCTTGCTGGAAACTGCGGGGAAGATGGACACGCGCAGATGGGAGGTGGTTTGTCCCCGTTCATCCCTCTTTTTACTTATACCTTCCTTCTGCCCTTGCTATCATTTATCTACGGTTCCTTGTGTGATTCTGCCAAGAATTCTGAAAGCTCTACAGAAAAAAAAACTTTCTCTTTTATGTTTTTCCCAGAATTCAAATGATGGATTTTTCCAACTTAAATCCTTTCTCGAAGAAGGCAAAGCATAAATAAATCAGTAGTTAAGTGTTTTAATAAGGCAGCTCTGCTTCTGCCTCTGCGCATGTCAAATGAGGTCCCCACTTCACAGCCAACAAAAAAAAGATGACCCGCCATGTAGTTTTACTTGATCTGTCCCTGGGTTCAGGCCACTCATCACGAGAATGCTCAGATAGCCACATCAGAAGAGAGAGGATTCTGGGCTGAGGAGGTAGCCAGTGTTCGCTGAATAATAATCAAAGGCATTACTTGGGTGGACTGGCACTGAGGGCTGAACAGAAAGAAGGGATGGGAAAATATAAGACCAGGACTGGGTTCTAACCCCTGTAGGGCAGCATTTTGGGGGCGGGTGGGAAGTCAGCTGGAACCGAATTCTGCAACATGCGCTTTGGAGGAAAGCATTTCTAACATTATGGCTTCAGCAGAGCATGCATAACCACGAGCCAACATGGAAGGTAGAAGAACAGAGGGTAAGAGACACAAAAGGAAACAGAGAATAACACCAGCACCAAGTTTTAAATATTACGTTGATTATCAAAAGAAAATCGTGCATTTCATCTTTTGCTTGCAGTCTTCATTCTTGTGTGGATGGGTTCACTTACAAATTTAAAAATCACGCACCAAGGGGTGAGGGGCGCCAGAGTGGCTCAGTTGGTGAAGAATCTGCCTTGAGCTCAGGTCATGATCCCGGGGTCCTGGGATCAAGCTCCCATTGGGCTTCCTGCTCAGTGGGGAGCCTGCTTCTCCCTCTGCCCCTTCCCCTACTTGTTCTCTCTCTGTCTCTCACATAAATAAATAAAATCCTTTTTAAAAAAAGTCACGCACCAAGAACGTGCAGCGTGCTCAGCCCTGTGTATGAACAGGTGTCCGTGGCTGTGGAGAGCGGTGGAGTCACACTGCCTGGCTCGGAATCTTGGCTCCTTCACTTATCAGACATGGGATGCTGGGCAAATCATGCAATCTCCCCCTGTCCCCCACACTTTAGAAAAAATTTGCCACATTTGCTTTATCACTCTCTCTATATATACATATTTTCCTTCTGATCCATTTGAGAGTAAGTTGGAGCATGATGCTCCTTCATGCCTTAATATTTCAGTATATTTCCTAAGAACAAGGGCATTCTCTTACATAACCATGGTTCAGTGATCAAATTCAGGACACCTGACATTGATGCAACACTTTTATCTAGTTCATCATCCATATTCCAATTCTGTCAATTGTCTCAGTCATAATCCTTACATTGAAAAAAAAAATCCTTTTGGCCTGGGATCACTTACGGCATTTATCTGTCGTGTAGCTTTCTCCTTTCAGCTGGGACAGTTCCCTGGCCTTTGTCTTTCAAGCACTGACATTTTTGAAGCGTACCCGCCAACTTAACCTTTCTTTTAAAAGAAAAGATAATAATAGTCCCTATTTCTGAGGGCGGTGTGAGGAAAAATGAGGTAATGCCGGGATTGCTCTGAAGTTGGGGCCTGGAACACTGATCAATGTGAGTGATTCGCTTTTCTTAGTATTATTGGTAGTGAACAGTTGTAGCAGGAAACGCAGGCCTCCACCTCACAAACTACAAGGGGAAAGAGCAGAGCGTTCAGGACAACCCCCGAGATAGGTAATCCTGGCGACAGGACAATGAGGGCTGCTGTGGACCCTGCCAGGGGAGACCAGCCGGCTGGAGGGCCATGGCTGAGGACGAGCAGTGGCTACCAGAAGTAAGTGGGAGCCCTCCAGGCACAGGGCTAGCTAAAGCACATGCCCGGCGGAGAGGCAGCAAGTGAGGGCATTCTGAGTGGATCAGTGTTGCCCGTGTGACTGCCGGGTTGTGGCTAGGGATGGAAGTATTGAAGGCGGGCAGGATTGCCCCACCTGACCACACCACGGGCTCTGACACTGTTGGCTCCCAGCGGCCACCAGGCACCCCACGGTCAGCTCAGCGGGGATGAGACACCGACCCCTGGTCTCTGCCCAGTGAGCACTCATCTGCGGCACCTCTTCGCCTGATGGCTGCTCATCTGGACCTTCCCCTCCTCCCACCATCCGACCACCTTCCCAACCGAGCCCTTAGCAAAGGCGTTCACACCTGGCAAGGCGTTCCTGCCCTCCTCACAACTCTCCTGGGCTCTCACCGCTGCTGCAGGCCACCGACAAGAGCGCTTCCTGATCAAACCCCCAATCCGACCTGGTCCTCGCCCTTGGAAATCTTGCCCACGCGAGTTCCCCTCCTGCTTCTCCTCCAACTTCTCTAACGGTGAGAATTTGCCACGGGGCTATTCAGCCACCTCCTACTATACCCTCAAGGGGGTGAGCAGGTGTCCTCTACCTTCCTGTCTTTTCCCGTCTCTGCAGGGGCAGCAGGGCAGAGGAGGGGCACAGAAGGAGGCCGGGGTCACCCTTGCAGAGCACTGCTCCCAGGAGGGCAAAGAGCATAGGGTCTGAATGCAAAAACAATGGGATCATCCGAGCTCCCTCAACCTCTTAAAATTCCTTCAGTATTAACGACACAGCCTCCTAGATATTTTACGTAATGCCCGGTGCTCCACTAACAATCCGAGAAGGAACCAAACACCTAACAAGAACCAATCCCCCAAAAATGAACTTGTCACCCAACTTCTTATTTGAGGCCAGAAGGTGTGTGCATGAGGCTGTAAGAGCAGCTCGGAGGAGGTGATGAGAAGCAGGCATGCCACCTTCTAGCCAGTTGTGACTGCCGAAGGGCAGAAGCAGTCACGGCCAATTCTGGGTCCGGGGCACATCCAACCCAAGCTCCGCAAGGAAAAAAGTCTTACTTACCACTTAAAAGGATTATCAATAGAAGTATCTGTCTGATTCCAGAAGCCTTGCCACACTCCTATATCCTACACTTTATTCACAGACTCTAGCAAAAATGTGTCTGAATTTGGAAATATACAGTTTTCCTGATGAAATGTACGGTGCACTTTTAGAAATATTCTTACATACAAGCTTTAAATTACCTGATTTTGCATTCACACCTAATGAGATTACGGACATTTTAGGACTAACAGCAGCTCTGGGTTTGAAAAAGGCAGCAGTGGGACATTATGAAAAATTCAGTTCTGCTCCCTAAATGTGAATAAAATAGATGTTCAACTGACACAGTGTCCTCTATGGCTCTATTTTTGCTCCTTTTGCATTTCCCCTGCTCAGTCGTCAGTAAATTTCTCTTTACCATATTAAACTTTTATACATACAAATCTACATCAGTGCCGCAGGCACTGATTTCGATTTTGAAAATTGAATTTTGGGTGGTGACTGCAATTGGTACACACAGTGGCCCTGATTCTAGTCACACAAAGGGACACAAAGGGACGCATAAGCACTTTTGGGAAAGGGTGTTGCAAATTGCTTTGCTAATTAAGGTAGAGCTGGATTCGGTCCAGGAGGATCTATGAAAAAAGGTTTTCATGGCTTGGTAATGAACTTCTGAAATGAGTTCATTCCGCTACGGGAGGCTGTTCCCTTCAATTCTATTGCAAATCTATTTCTTGAGCACCTACTATGCAGAGTGCTCTGCGAGCGGGCTGTGAGGGGACATAAAGACCCAGCCTCGGCCTTGCAGAAACTGGTAATTCAAGCCGAGGAGACAAGACAGGCGCGCATTAAAAATCAAACATGGCCCCGGGGCAGCGTGTAACTGAGTGCCAGATTAAAGGAAATCAGGGGTGGGAGCGGGTCACCAGGCCTGGCTGACGGGGCAGGTGTGGCAGGGGTCTTGGGTTTCACTGCAGTGACAGTTCACAGAGAGGGGGAGCCTGAGTCCCGCACTGAGGAGTTCAGCGGCAAGGAGCTGGGCCTGGGTGGAATGGGGATCAGAGGAGTAGCTGGGAGGATGCATGAAAAAGCAGGGGACAAGGATGTTTTAGGCAAAGCAGGATCTTCAGCTGAGCCGAGGAGTGCTCCAAGGGCCTGGGAAGGCAGCTAATCTTGGCAAGCCTTGTGTGTCTGCGGGGTGGTGTCCACAGTGCACTAGGTTCTCAAAGGTTAAGAACCACTTACATTGTGGCCAATTTGGGAGGCAATGAGAGGCCAGGGCACGTGCTGCGGTGCGGTGAGAGGCAAAACAGGCTGGCACCAAGGATCGGAGGGCAGTGAAGGCCTCACACGCCTGCTGCCACTCATCCAGGAGGCAACAGGCAGACACACAGGCTCCGAGTAAAGTGGAGACCCACCGAAAGTGGTCTGTAATTTATCCCTTCTAGCAGGATGAGCACCTCTATCTTTAACCAAGCACAGAAAGCTGCCATCCCATGGTCTAAACACTACCTTAATTCGTTCTAGGTCTGCCTGGAACTGGGAGATGAGAAAAAAGATGGAGATGCCCACATTCCCTCTCAGAGATGATTCTCCTCATAACTCCTGTTTTGCAGTGGGTTCACTATTATAGCTAAAAATAGCATAATCTGTCCTTAGGCCATGCCTCAGAAACTGGCCTTCTAGGAGCCCGCATATGGGGGTGGGCACCGCTGAGGTGGTGTCCCCGCAATCAGCACAGGCCAGGCAGTGTGGCTCCCTGCCACAGTGAGGAAGGCCAAAGACCGGGGCTCCTCCAGATGACCGAGACAACAGAATTATATACAACCTTTACATTCTCCCCTGAGAACTGGAAATATCATTTACATTACTGCAAACCCAAGATGCAGTTCAACTTTTTCCAAACAAGGCTGATAGGATTTAAACCCAGGTATAATGCAAGAACTCACTGGTGGGTGCGCCCCTTCCTGGGCGGCCGTTTCCAGGCTGTTCCTCAGAGCTGTGCCTGTGCTAGCTTAGTAGGTGCCGGTGTGCAGTCAGGGATCTTTCAGGAAGCTGCTTGTGCACCTAGAGAACTCATTAGAAGGACTGGCCCCTTTCCCTGTACTTAAGTCAACAATTAGAGTTGTTCTGCCACCTTCCCCCACGTTGTGATTCTTTTATTAAGCTCTTGGTGCTGCAGGAGATGTGTTTTCTTGAAGAAACTGTATTCAGAGGGGGCAAAACCCATAACCATTAACTTTCAAAAAACTGCACAAAAGGATAGAGGGTGTAAGAGGTGGTAAGTGCGCTCCTGCTTCCCACCATCTCCTCCCTCTTGGTGGGTTCTGGGTGGACCATGAGACTCCCCAGAGGGCAATCTGAAGTGGAATTAATGGGGGCGGAGGTTTCTGTACTCTGCCTTCAAGTCTGAATGCCTGATTTGCTTTCTAGTGAGTCCGGCCCTTCTGCACTGGTATCCCACCTGAGGGTCATCTTTCTTCCGATCTGTACTAGGGGTCATGGCTGGGGCAAAGAAAAGCAGGTGGGCAAAGACACATTTACTTCTTTGGCAAAACTGTCACTCGTTTGAGCAGGGCATGAGGGAAAAGGGGTGGCTTGATGTTCATGGAACAAGAGGCCTTTTTAGCAAGAAAGAATGTGGGAGAAATGGCAGCTGAGGAAAGATGAGGCCCAAAGGAGGCAACGCCAGATCAGGACCAGGACAGCTGGGCCTGTTGCTTACTTGTCTTGCCACTGACTCCCCAGGGGACCCCAAGTAAGTTGTTTTAGGTTTCTGTTTCCTCATCTGTAAAATGGGAATAAGTGATGGCCTCCTTCCTCAGCTGCGCTAAGGACTAAACTAAATGAGAGTATGCATGCAAAAGCATGCTGGAGCATGTGTTCAGTGTTATTGTTAAGATCCAGGGGGTCAAGAGGCCAAGAAGACTGCCTGCCTCTCTCCTCTACAGGAACAAGGAGGCTGTGGAGCAGAACTGCCTCTCCATCTAGTCTGGTCTTTCTGGCAACTGGCATAACCAAGGGGGAGCTCCCCACCCATCACCCAACTGGGTCTAATACTCGCTGTCTGCTGCCGGCTTAATGAAGAGTCTACCGGAACCACCTTTCTTTCTCAAGGTTTATAAATGATCCAGGGTGTCAGTGGGAGTAACTTACGGTGCTGTCCTCAATTCTAGCAAGGGGCTGCTCCCTCTAAAAATTATCACCAAGATTTACTAAGCCCAGGGGCATTCTCAGGTGCCATCAGGATGAAGCACCATGACAGTGGTCCTGAGTAATGTGCTTACTGCCACCGTGATATACCGGTTCACTCTACCAGGGATGCATTCATCAGCGGCTCCAGAACCATCATCAGAGCCATGACTTGCATCTAAAACCATGACTCAAATCTGTGTGGGCCTTCGACTGATTAGAACTATCTTCCCAGGTGATGACAAAGGATGACAACTCCAAAAGAGAAAGCTATACCCTCCTTTTCTGGGTCCTCTTACACTAAGTCAAGTAGGCGAATGTCACACTCTCTCACCTCCCCAAGGCTCCAGCCTCTGTCAGCCTCCTTGCTGGCTGCTTTCACCATCTGAATTTCAGTAGAGTAAAATGCACGTCTGTCTACCCGACTGTTAAATTTCTTGACAGTAAGGACAAGGCTATGTCCCTCTTCTGGAGTTCCTAAGGTTCCCTCCACACTGCAAGCTCTCAAATTCTCACCACTCAGGACACAGAAATATTCCTTCTCACTCTTCGCTACTTCTCTCCACCTACTTCTGCCACACCTGCAACTGTATTCAAATGATTTTTGTCTCATGAGTCATAACTGATCATTTAATCACTTCATCCAGACATTTACTGGTTGTCCTTTATGTGCCAAGAACTATGCTAGACACTGGGGGGAGAAAATAAATGGCACCCTCTCTATTCTCAGGAGGCTCACACTAAAAATACGTAGGGAGCAGAGCCCTAGAAAAGTCTATGGAGTTTGTAGAGTTGGGACTAGATACAATTCCTGCCTTCGAGATCTTGGTATGCTGGACCAGTGAAGACCACTGTAAAAGGTGCGTACGTGTAGTGCCCTAACCCCCTGCATCCCCCAAGCCCCGAGCCAGACACTTCATCCATGCCCTCCACCCCATCTGAAATCTGGTTTCCATGATACCCCTGGGCATGTTCTTGCTCCATTAGGTGGGCTGGCTTGGCTCTTTGTTGGGCTAAGTTGCAAAAAAAAAAATATGTTCCTGCTTTGACAGGTCATGGCCAAGTACGGCAAAAGTCATTTCTTCAGGTTGTGTGTTTATGTATCACATTTCCTATCTCTGACCTCTTGCCTGAGTCCCAGGCTCAAATATCTCACTGCCTACTTGACATTTCCACTTGGAGGTAAGTCCACTTGGCATCTCAAATTTAACATGTCTAACACTGAACTCAAGATGTTCTTCCCACACCCCACCTGCTCCTCATCTAGTCTTTCCCATCTCAGTAAACGGCACCTCCTCCCACCTAGCTGCTCAGGCCAAAAAAATCTAGGTGTTCTCATTGGTTTCTCTTTTTCCCTTTACGTCACATCCACTATATTAGCAAGTCCCGTTGAAGCAACCTTCACAGTGCAACCCGAATCTAGCCACTCCGTCTCCTGTGCTGCCTCCCTCATCCAAACCACCATTATTTCTTGCCAGAGTAGCCTTTTCTCTAGCCTCCTTGTTCCTATCCTCACCCCCTATAATCCATTCACCACATGCAATCAGAATGATCTTTTAAAACAAATAAATTGGGGGCGTCTGGGTGGCTCAGTCGTTAAGCGTCTGCCTTTGGCTCAGGTCATGATCCCAGGGTCCTGCGATCGAGGCCCACGCCAGGCTCCCTTCTCAGCAAAAGCCTGCTTCTCCCTCTCCCACTCTTCCTGCTTGTGTTCCCTCTCTCACTGTGTCTCTCTTGTTCTGTCAAATAAATAAATAAAAGTAAATAAATAAAACATAAATTAGGTCACGTCAGTCTTCACTAATTCCCCAATGGCTTCTCGCTGGCCTTATGATAAAATCCAACTCCCAACCAGAGCCTGTAAGACCCTACTGCACCTGGCTCTTGTCCTCCTCTGACCTCAACTCTTAGCAAACTCCATCTCACTCACTCCCCTTCAGCTGCTCTGGCTTCCTTTCTGTTCCACAACACGCCAATCTGTTTCCTGCCTAGGACCTTTGCCTGGAATGCCCTTCCCACCAAGTATACAGTCAGCTCATCTTCTTCCCTTATGTCTCATCTATGTGTCACCTCCAGAGCCAGGCTTTCTCAGAACTAGTATTACCCTTTTATCATGCTACTATTTTACATCCAGCACAGGACTGATCTGGACTATCTTACATACGTCTACTTGCTTACTGTGTCCCAGACGAGAATGTAAACTTCAACTTCAGGTGGACAGGACCTCCTCTGTCTAATTCACTGCTGTCTCCCCAGCACCTAGCACAGTTCCCAGCACATGGTGGGTGCTCAGTGAATATGTGCTGTGTATGAATGAGTCCCAGAGCCGCCCTAGCACCAACCTGGAGAGCAAGAATGTAGGTCTACTACTCACACAGGGGCAGGGGTTGAGGTCCCAAACCTGCTGCACGGGCTTACAGGGGGCCAGGTAGCAAAGGCTTTGCTGGGGCCCTGCAGAGGTCCTTGAGGTTCAGCTCAGTCACTGCAAAGTAACAGCACCGTGTCAGGGAAGCTATAAGCCTGCGCGTGTCACCATCTACGACTGCTGTGCGTCTCAACCCCGGCTGCGCCTAGAATCATCTGGTGAAAGTTACAAAATACCGAGGCCAAGGCCCTAACCCCAGAGGTTCTGATTCAATAAGGCTGTAGATTTTTTCAAAAAGTTTCTTCAGTAATTCCAAAGTGCAGCCAGAGAGCACTAAATAGAAGGCGGGGTCGTCGTTCTCTGAAGTTCCGGGAGGGGTGGGGTACAGGAGGGTCCGCGCGCACGTGCGGCCGGGGAGGGAAGGCTTGCGCATGCGTGGACCCCACTGCTCGCCCGCTCGTGGGCCCCACCCGTGCCTCGTCCTTTCCGCCCCTCGCCCCAACCGCCACCCCACTGCAGGCGGACCCCACAATCCGGTCACCTGGGTGTTCTCTCCCTCCCGAAAGGCCTGTGCCACCCGCTGCCGCAGGTAAGAGCCCAAGTCCCGGCCCCGTTTGGTCTCGTCCACTGGCCATTCCTCACACAGCTTAAGGAAACGCCGGTAGCGGCTGGCCGCCATTTTGGGCCCCGTTTGTCCCCGCCCTTGAGGGAGGAGTCGGCGCCACAGGTGGCGCTTGCGCACTTAGGCTCTCCGGCTTCCCGGGGAGGTGGGGTGGGAGGGAGGAATGAGCGTGCGCGAGTTCGCGGGCGGCCCGGCGCTCTCCAGATAGGGGCGCTGCTCTCCTGTCTATGCGAGCGGGGTTAATTCAGTGTCCTCCTCCTGGACCGGGCCCAGCTCCCAGGGGCCAGTTAGACGCGGAGTACTCCAGGGACAGGTTTACTTCTCTTTTTTCGATGACTGCACAAGTTCCAGACTAAGACTTCCTCGGAGACCTCTGCTAATTTGCATAAACGAATACATTTGCATGTAAATTCAGGTGGTTATTCGATGAAGATGTGTATGAATTTATTTTTTTTATTTTTTTTAAAGATCTTATTTATTTATTTGACAGAGAGAGACACAGCGAGAGAGGGAACACAAGCAGTGGGAGTGGGAGAGGGAGAAGCAGGCTTCCCGCGGAGCAGGGAGCCCCATGCGGGGCTCGATCCCAGACCTCTGGGATCATGACCTGAGCCGAAGGCAGACGCTTAACGACTGAGCCACCCAGGCGCCCCAAGATGTGTATGAATTTAATCACATAGCACGCGCGCAGGTTGTTCGCCTCCCCTTCTCTCCTTTCACAGCCCCTGCACTTGCCACTACCACTTGGTAGTGCTTTTTAGCTCTTGTTCCTCTCTCCCCATCCCGTTAGTATCCCTTCAGAGCTCCCCTCCCCACACGGGGCACGTGTCCCTGGGAAGCACAGATTTCCCAGCTTGAGCAAAGTCAGCTGGGTTGATTCAGCCTGGGAAACTTGTTTTACCAAGTCTTTTCTTATACATCTCCAGCTGCAGCATCATGTGGACTGTCATCATTTTTCTTTTCAAGATACCCCCACCAGTTTCCTTAAGAAATCCTCAGCCTGGCTTTGCTGAGCCGGGCTCTGTCTTCACGGTCCTGCATTTAGCCAGGACCATCCCATGCATACAACACTCAGCTTCCCCCAAACCTCTTCCTTCTCACCCGCCTACTTTGTAAAGGTAAATCCGGGAGACTGTTGCCTTCAAGGAGTAGACGGTTGAGGAGTGGATACACAACCCGAACACAAGTTCAAAGTGACAGGGGCTTTAATTGAAATGTTAGAGAATGCTGGGGAGTTTGGAGAAAGAAATACTACTTCTAGCTGTTCAGGGGAATAAGGGGAGAAAGATCAGAGATGGCTTCTGAAGGAGATGGCATTTGGGCTGGACCTTGAAGGATGGTTAGGATTCAGGTAAGTGGGAACGAAAGGTTCCTGAGCCGCAAGAGCCAGGCCTAGGGCAGGAATGGGAGAGAGAAGAGGAGGGAGGGGTTTAATCTGAGGAAAGATCAATGGGTGGTTTTAACAAGGATCAGCTTTGAACTGTTCTGAAGACCTTAAGAGTAAAGATCTATTGAATGAGAACCTCTGGTGACCTGGGGTGTGCGGTGTCCACCTGAGGTAAGTGAGTTCACGGAGTGCCTACCTGAGGTTAGGAGAGCTCAGGAGGAGTGGAAAATGAGGCTTTCAGGGGCGCCCCCATCTTGTTCCCAGTCCAACAGTACTTCCCAGCTCTATCTATCCTCTTCATGAGCTGTATTTATAGCCACATAGTTTTGATGGCTGCCATGAGGCCTAAAGGTCAAGGATTGTATCTGTTTACTGTCAAGTTCCAGGCGCCTGGGGCTGTGCTGGGTGCCTAGAGGCCTTGTCATTCTGCCTGAGGCCTGACCACCCCTCTGGCTTTGACGAACACCTGGCTGGCAGACAGTGTTCCTAGGACGCAGGGACTGAGGTCCCTCTGTCTTCAGTGAGAGGAAGAGTAGCATGAAGTGGCAGCAGATGGTTTTCACCCCACTTGAGGCACAAGTGGAGTGAGAGGTTGAGAAGAACAACTAGACATCCAGAGAACTCAAACCAGTGTCTCCTAAGGCTCTCCCTTCCCCAGCACAACGTCTTCTAGGTGGGTTGTGGTTGTCCCTTGTTCAGGCTGCCTTGCCCACCTCTCTTACCGCCAATGGAGGCTTGTTTGGTTTGGTGGTTCAGTAGTGAGGCCTTGGAGTCTTACAGGCCTGGGTTGTAATGTGGGCTTGCTCATTCATTCATTCATTCATTCAGGACTATCTATGTAATTTGTGGAGGCCTACTACAAGGTGAAATAGAAAGTTCCTTGTTAAAATATTAAGAATTTCAAGACAGGGGCACCTGGATGGCTCGGTTGGTCGGTTAAGCATCTGCCTTCAGCTCAGGTCATGATCTCGGCATCCTGGGATAGTGCCCCACGTCGGTTCCCTAATCAGTGGGGAGTCTGCTTCTCCCTCTCCCTCTGCCCTCGCCTTGACTCATGCTTGCTCGAGTGCTCTCTATTTCTCAAATAAAATCTTAAAAAAAAAAAAAAAAGGAATTTCAAGACAGTAACAGCAGAGCATTAAACCAAGTATGGGGCTCTTTGGAGTGCAGGGCTCTGTGTGACCTCAGAGGTCACACACCCACGAAGCAGCCCTGAGCTCCTTCCAAGTGGTGGACAGGACAGGTGAGGGCCCTGATCCTGTGGGTTTTACATTTAATTGAGTGGAGACGGACAACAACTGAATAGACATATGATGATGATAATAATAGTGCTTTATATGTATGAAGTCATATAGTAAGTGAACAAGATAATTTCAGATATAGTAAGTGCTGGGGAGAGATTCAAGGCAGTGTGCTGGGTCCACAGCGATTGGGGCAGGGGTGGGTCTGGGTGGTCTAGAGGAGGCCTGTGTATGAGAGCGACCTGAGTCACAAGGGGCAAGAGTGGCTTCCTGGCAGAGGGACCGCCAGAAGTCTTCAGAGCAGCCTACCTTGAGTGGGTTATTTAATCTCTCTGAGCTTCAGTTCTTCATCTTAAAATGGGAATTCTAATGATAAAGTAACACCTAACTGACTATTTGCTCTGTGTCAGGCACTGGTCTAAATGCCTTATACAGTAGTGACTCATTTAGTGCTCCTAATGGCTCTCAGAGATAAGTACTGCTATTATCTCCATTTTACAGAGGTGGAGACTCAGGTACAGAGAGGATGAGGACTTGCCAAGGTCGCTAGCTGGTAAGTGGCAGAACCTGGACTCGAACCCCAGCTGACTGACTCCAGAGCCCACGCTCTCCCCCCTCCACCCCCCATCAGGATGCCCCTTCGGTGTTATCAGGAGCTGCATGGATGGTTCTTTCAGGATGCATTATAGTTTCCCAAGGGGGTCTAGGGTCCTCTCCAGTCTTGTGTTACCTCTGCCCCCCACCTTCTCATGCCTGTGGGTTGTCAGAGCCAGAGTCTGGGCCCGTTGGCTTGTCAGTCATCCAGCGCCATTCTGGACACATTAATAGGTACCATCTGGAATGTGACTTGGCAGTGCCAGTCCTCAGGGAGTTGATGACCATTTTAACACCCACCTGCTGACTGTCACTCATTCCACATTAAATGCAAGCTCCCCAGGCTCCTTGCAAGCCCCCACCAGGGCTGTACCTCCTGATCCATTTGGAATGGGTATTTGGGCTCCATGGAGTCCTGGTAGCTCTTTATAGAAACAGGCACCAGAGGGGGAGGAGAGGAGGGAGGGAGCGCTGCTTCAGTTTTTCAAGTTATAATGATCCCAGTAATTGAGATACCGAATTGTACATTTAAATCGCTTGAAAGTAAAAATACCATTTTGTAATGCTGGTGTTAATAATGTAAACATTAAAAATGAATTAAATACTTAGCTGTATTGTGGGGCACGATTGCCTGATTTTTCTTCTTTCAACTTATTTAACCGGAGGAAATGATTGGCTGCCATACCCAGATATGTTACCATAAAAAGTGGGTCTGGACTTGCAAGGGAGAAGTTAGTCAGTTCGTGCCCTGTGTAAAGGTGAACTGGAAGGGGCAGGCTGGTAGTAGATTGCTGCCTTTCTCTGGAGGTGAGCTGCTTTTCAAGACTCATAGGTGTTTAAGGTGTGCTAGGGTAGGCTAATGAGGTCCTAAAGTGCAGCCCAATGTACCCAAAGCCCCTCCACTCTGGGGAGACCTCTGTCGTCTGCCCTGGGCCCTGCCTCCCTCCCTTCACTCTAGTTGATGTCACCTCAAAGAGGCCTTCCCTGGCCCCCATTTCAGGAGTGGCCCTGCCACTCTGGATCCCTGCAAAACGCTAGTCACTATCCGATAGCAGGCCTTGACAGAGAGTCATCTCTCACTAAATGAATCTGAGGAGAACAGACCACATCAGAGTTTGGACCCGGGTTTCCTCACCTATCCATTCCCCCGCCCCCCCCAACCCCAGTTGAACACCTGCCTCTGTGAGATACTCCTCTCTAGAGGTCTGAGGGAGAAAGGTGAAGGGCAAAATCAGGAGCAGGTAGATTTCTGGATTTGGTACTTGGATTAGCTCTCGAAGCTCCTGTCCCATTTCAGGGCAGCCTAGTAACAGAAGGGAGAAAGTTCTGAGCGATGCATAACGAAAAGGACCCAACCTGGCTGCAAGTCAACCTGCCTGGCTGGTGCTCAACTTGGTATGGTCCCAGAGATGCTTTTCCCTCCCTCCCTCCCCTCTAGTTCTTGGCACCCACACCTTCATTTTAGTTCTTTCCCTCATCTTCTGTTTTATGTTTTTGGCCACAGTGGATGCAGATTTAAATCAAAAGTCAGAAGTTTAGATCATTTTGAAGAGCTGCTGATGAGTGGTCCTGCCTTGCCATTTATTTTATGAGACTGCTTCCTGCCCTTTCCAGAATGGGCTACAAGGCTCTGTGCAGCTGGGAAGAGTGATGGGACCTGCCAGGATGCTGCCCAGAGGCCCAGGGCTTCCTGATGACATTGCGTCATGGAAAAGCTGTAATAACTTTCTGCTCTTCAGCTTCCTCTTCAATTGCACTGGGAACACTAGAGGGAGGAGGCCGGGTTGGGTGACTGTCCCCGGCTGTCCTTGGCCTCCCTGCTGGGGAGTTCGGGAGCGGGTTGCTCTTCTACAGCACCTGTCTTGAGGACCAAG